CAAAAACCACAAACCACAAGCAATTCAAGCCAAGAAAAGCAGAAATGGGAGGGGGATTTCTCGGGTGTTTTTCCAGCTTGGGCAAGGAGCATGAAAAGGTCAGCTCAGTCAGCTCTTTCTTAGCAGTCAGAATCATTTTTACTTCCTTGTAATTATTTTTCATTTTTACTTCCTTGTACAATTTTCTCAGGCTTGGGGGACTTAGTTTGAATCCATCATTCTAGGGGACTTGGTTTGATTCCAACATTCCCCCCTTTTCTTATGGCGAGATTTTAATCCTAAAATCTATAAATCTTCTGTTCTTTTTGAAGCATGATATTGCTGAGTAAGGACTAAAGCCTGAGTCACTGATAATCAGTTCCTGATAAAGTGTAGCAGCTTACTGAGAATGCATGGCCCGAAGGTTAAAAGAAGGAGAAGAATTACTAGGGGGCCTATTAGGGTGGACACTAAGGTAGTTAACCAGGGGTTTTTATTAAACCAGCCTTCGAACCATCCCTGTTTGGATTCACATTCTTTTTGTCTTTTATCTAATCTCTGGCGGAGTTTAGTCATAGAATCTTTAACAACCCCCGAGTTTTCAGCATAGAAACAGCATTCTTTGCCTAGAGCTGCACAGAGTCCTCCTGGGTTGGGGCTCTTTTGGTGTGGGAAGCATGGATCCAGGCCGAAATCCCGTCTACCTTGAGGGCCGTGGGTGTAGTCAGGAGAACCATGTAGGGTCCTTTCCACCGTGGTTCAAGGGTCTTTATGTTGTGTCTTCTCACGTACACCTGATCTCCAATTTGGTAGGAGTGAGGCGTTTGTGGACTACCAGGCCGGTAGACAGCAGCCAAGGGTCTCCAAACCTGGTTCTGGATTATCTGGAGAGCTTGGAGTCTTGTTTTAAGGCTGGGGTTGTCAAAAGAAGAGGGCAAGGGGGACAAGGTTACATTGAGGACAGGAGGCGGTCCTCCAAAAAGGATTTCATAGGGGGTTAAGCAGTGTATAGCAGGAGTATTTCTAGCCTGAAATAGAGCTAGAGGTATGAGCTGCACCCAGTCTTTAGTGCCAGTCTCTAGAGCTAATTTAGTTAAGGTCTCTTTAATAGTTCTATTCATTCTTTCTACCTGTCCTGAACTTTGGGGTCTGTAAGCACAATGTAATTTTCAATTAATCCCCAATGCTTTGGCCACTCCCTGACTTACCTGGGAGACGAAGGCAGGGCCATTATCAGATCCAATTACCTTGGGTAGTCCAAATCGAGGGAAGATTTCTTCAATCAGTTTCTTTACCACAGTCTGGGCTGTTTCCTTTTTGGTGGGGAAAGCTTCAACCCACCCTGAAAAAGTGTCTATAAACACTAAAAGGTATTTATACCCATATTTTCCTGGGAGTACCTCAGTAAAATCTACTTCCCAGTTAGTCCCTGGTCGTGTCCCTCTTTCTCTCTTGCCAAATGGGACCTTTGACTTAGTTGCATTTACCAGGGAACATGAGACACAATCTCCCACTACTTTTTGAACTAGTTGATTGAGGTCTGGGAAGTAATAATGTTGTTCTTTTCTTTCTAATAGTGTTTTTAGTTTCTTGTGTCCCAAATGTGTCCACTGGTGAAGTTGGGAGATCAGCTCAAGTGCTGCTTCCCGGGGCAGTATAGTACGATTTTGATGTCTCCACATCTTGGTTTCAGGATCCAAAGTAGCATTAAGCTTTTGAACAAGTTCCAAATCTTGTTCAGTGTAAGTAAAAGAAGCTTCTGCTTTCTTTTCCTGTTTCTTCATCTCAGCCTTAAGGTCTGCATGTGTGTAAAGAATGTATGTACCTTCTGCTGCCTGACGGGCAGTTTCATCCACCATCCGATTGCCTCAAGCAATTGGCCCCTGGTCTCGTTGATGTCCAGGGCAATGAATTATGCTGACCTGTTTTGGCAAGTATAAGGCTTGTAGAAGGGCCACTATTGCTTCTTTGTTTTTGATGTCCTTACCAGCCGAGGTGAGGAGTCCCCGCCTCCGATAAATTTCCCCATGTATATAGGCAGTGGCAAATGCATAGCGGCTGTCAGTATAAATATTGACCTTTTTGCCCTTTGCTAATTTTAGGGCCTGAGTTAGAGCTTCTAATTCAGCTCGCTGGGCTGATGTTCCAGCTGGCAGGGCTTGGGCCCAAATTATCTTTTCCCCATCAACCACCGCAGCCCCCGCCTTACGCTCACCATTTCGTAGAAAGCTGCTCCCATCCGTGTACCAAGTGGCATCTGCATCTGTTAGGGGCTGGTCAGTGAGGTCTTCTCTGGTCCCATGTGTCTCCGCAAGTATTTGCTGGCAATCATGAGGAATCTCAGTGCCTTTCTCGGTGGCTGGTAGTAGCGTGGCGGGGTTTAGGGTGGCAGGGTTTCCAAACTTGATTTTTTCTGGATTTAATAGTAATGCCTGATAATGGGTCACCCTGGCATTTGACAGCCACCTGTCAGGAGGTTGTCTAATGATGGACTCCACTGCATGAGGTGTTATAACAGTTAGGGGCTGACCCATAGTGAGTTTGTCTGAGTCTTTAACTAAGGATGCTATTGCCACCATGATTCTCAAACATGGGGGCCAGCCAGCGGCCACATTGTCCAGTTTTTTTGAGAGATAAGCCAATTTTGTCAAAGGCTCTCTGGTGTTCTTCAGTCCAGACGAAAGGAGTTCCATTTTTTGTTAAAGGATATAAAGGAGCTGCTATTTCAGCAAAACCCGGTATCCATAATCTACAGAATCCTGCACTTCCCAAGAACTCTCTGAGTCCTCTGGCTGAGGTTGGTGGGGGGATAGAGGCTACTGCCTGTTTCCTGCTTTCCGTTAGCCAACGTTGCCCTCCCTCCAACCGATAGCCCAAATAGTTCACCTGTTGTAGGCAGATCTGGGCTTTCTTTGCCGAGGCCCAGTATCCAAGTTCCCCCAGTCTCAATAGGAGAGTCTCTGTACCTTGTAGAAAGTCAGCTTCTGTCTCAGCTGCCAAGAGGAGGTCATCCACATACTGGAGGAGCATAATCTGTGGGTTTCTTACCCGAAAGTCAGCCAAATCACGGTTTAGAGCCTCATCAAACAGAGTGGGGGAATTCTTGAATCCTTGGGGTAGTCGTGTCCAGGTTAGTTGTCCTGATATTCCAGCTTCAGGATCCTTCCATTCAAAAGCAAACATGGGCTGGCTAGCCGGGCTCAGTCTTAGGCAGAAAAATGCATCCTTCAGGTCAAGCACAGTATACCACCTGTGACTGGGAGGCAAGGTACTCAGGAGATTATAAGGATTTGGAACAGTGGGGTGTATATCCTCTATCCTCTGATTGACTTCTCTTAAGTCTTGGACTGGTCGATAGTCATTTGTTCCTGGCTTCTTTACAGGGAGCAACAGGGTGTTCCAAGGGGACTGGCAGGGGTGAAGTATGCCTATTTGTAAAAGTCTTTGGATATGGGGTCTGATTCCCTCTTGGGCCTCTCTGCTCATAGGATATTGTCTGATTGAAACCGGAGTTGCAGATGGTTTTAGTGTGACCACTATTGGAGGCTGGTTGCATGCTAATCCTGGGCCTCCTGTCTCGGCCCATGCCGAGGGGATTTTACTTAGCCAATCAGACATACCAGGAGCTTCTGTTATCGGTCCCTCATATAACCGATGTTCATCTTCCAGCCGCATGGTTAATACCTGTAGTGGAGCTCCATCTTTTCCTTTTACAGTAGCTCCCTTTTTAGTGAAGTGGATGTGAGCTCCCAGCTTAGAGAGTAAATCTCTCCCAAGAAGGGGTTATGGACAGTTGGGGACCAGTAAGAATGAATGAGAGACCCGTCCTGTGCTGAGGTCCACTTTTCTTTCGGTGGTCCATCTATATGTTTTTCCTCCGGTGGCCCCTTGGACCCAGGCTGTTTTGGAACTCATGGGTCCCTCGGTTGCTGTCAGAACCAAATGTTGAGCTCCTGTGTCTACCATGAAGGTGGTCAATTGTCCCCCTATCTTCAAAGTTACCCTGGGCTCAGGGGGGAGCTCCTGGCCCTGACTCCCCTAGTCTCCTAGAGTCAGGACTGGGGTTGTCTTCTTTTGAAGTCTGTTTAAGTTTTTCGGACATTCTCGAGCCCAATGTCCTCTCTCCTTGCAATAGGCTCACTGGTCT